CGTGCCAGCACCACCTGCCCTCCTCACAGTTAACACTTTCCTTTCTAGTCAGTGCTGTCAGTGATGTGTATCAGTTGGGGATTATTATTATTTCTTTTTGGTGATGTTATTTTTCATATTTATTTCATTCTGTAGAACATTTAAAAACATATATTGGTTTTATCTATTTTATCTGTTTCAAAAGAGGGAATTGCTACCATTACCTTTTAAATGTCTTGTGTACAGTTTCATCTTGCTGTCGCCATGGTACCTAAAAACAACGAGTTCTGAATGATGAAGAAAGTTGGATATTCTTGATATCTTGTTTTGATATGTCTGGTCACCTCCTAAATTGAGTACCTTGTTTCTGGTGCTGCTATATTATAACGACCCTACAAATGTTCCTAAAGTAAAGAAAAATAGAAAAATAAACTGATTTTTTAGGAGCTTTCTGTATCAATAGGACCTGAAATAATACACAGAAATATAATGCTTTGATTCTGGCTGCTTGTTATTAATGATCACAAATTAGATCCCAACTTTTTTGGTTGTTGTTGTTGGGGAGACCGTCTCGCTCTGTCCACCCAGGCTGGAGTGCAATGGTGCGATCTCGGCTCACTGCATATCGCTGCCTCCCGGGTTCAAGCCATCTCCTGCCTCAGCTCTCCTGAATAGCTGGGATTGCAGGTGCCTGCACCACGGCCTGGCTAATTTTTTGTAATTTTAGTACAAATGAGGTTTCACCATGTTGGCTAGGCTGGTCTTGAACCCTGATGTCAAGTATCTGCCCGGCCCTCGGCCTCCCAACGTTCTGAGTTACAGGTATGAGCCACTATGCCTGGCCCAACTTTTTTTTTTTTTTTGAAATGGAGTCTCACTCTGTCACCCAGGCTGAGTGCAGTGGACGATCTTGGCACCCTGCAACCTCTGCCTCCCAGGTTCAAGCGATTCGCCTGCCTCAGCCTCCCGAGTAGCCGGGATTACAGGGCTCACCACCTCGCTAATTTTTGTATTTTTAGTAGAGACGGGGTTTTACCATGTTGCCCAGGCTGGCCTAGAACTCCTGACCTCAGGTGATCCACCAACTTCCCTTGGACTACCAAAGTGCTGGGGTTACAGGTGTGAGCCACCATGCCTGGCCGGCCCCAACTTTTTAATCTTACAAATTCCCTTCTGTAAGTTGAAGAAAATATTTGCCTAAATCCCAATTGTTTAGATTCTTAATATAGATTATGCTTTCATTACATAAATGGTTTATCCAGCTTTGAAACTGTCAGGTCAAGAGCTTTGGGTATCAAAGAAGGTGTGGGAAAACTGGGAAAGACATTTCTCCGAACATCCGACTAAGCTGGTAGCTCTGTGGAGGTAGGAAGTGGGTAAGGGGGGATCCAGAATTCTGAAAGAGGTAATAGTGGTGTGGAGAGCAGGAATACTAAAAGTCACTGAAACTTGAGTTTAGAGATCAGCCTGGGATGATATTTATAAATGTATCGTTATTTTGGCTGTCGGGCGTGTGAACATCCTTCCATGTTTAAGAAAGTTTCCATCCCTATGTTTTAAGGGATTCCCTTAGAGGAGCTCAGAGTTTGCTTTTGCAGCCTTTCTTAGGGCTAGGATGTGGGCACCCCATCTAGAAGCCACCAATCAAGTGAACATGTCCCAGACATTGAAGCAGAAACTACAGTAGGAAAGTGGGACCAAGTTGAACCCATCCTGGGGGTGGAGGGAGTGGGGTGGACATGCTGGCAGCTTCCTTTAGGGCCCATGGCAGCACTTCTGGCAGTAGTCCTGATGTCCATTGTGTGGATGATGGAGTGAAAGCCACTGTCTCTGTGCTTAGTTGTGTTGGAAATGGTATCTTCAGTGAATTTGTTCTGCCCTGTGATTTTGGTTGGTGCTTATGTTAGGTGTCTATTGCTGCATAGCAAATTACCCCAACATTTGGCAGCTTAAAACGTTGAATAATCCCACCATCCCTGTAGGTCAGGAACCTGGATGTGGCTTAGCTGGGTCCTCTGCTCAAGGTCTCTCTTGAGGCTGTAATTAAGGTGTCCTCTGGGGCTGCAGTCATCTCACAGCTGGACTGAGGGAAGCTCTGCTTCTGAGATTACTTTAGTGGCTGTTGTTGGCACATTTCAGTTCCTTTCAGGCTGTTGACTACTGAGGCCTCTCTCACTTCCCTGCCATGTGGGTCTCTCCATAGCACAGCTCACAACACATGTGTGTGTGTGTGTGTGTGTGTGAGAGAGAGAGAGAGAGAGAGATAAAGAGAGAGACAGAGAGAGAGAGAGAGAGAGAGAGAGATAAAGAGAGAGAGAGAGCTCCCGGAAAGGAGAGAGAAGTTTGGGGAAGCAAGCAAGAAGGTATAATGTTTCTATAACCTGATCTCAGAAGTGACCTTCCATCACTTTTGCTGTACTCAGTTCATTAGAAGTGGGGCACTAGGTCCAGGTCACTCTCAAAGGGAGGGGATTGCAGAAGGGCGTGAATACTGAGACAGGAGACATTTGTACTATTATTTACAGGCTGCCTACTGCAGTGGCCTTGCCCTCTTAGCCTCAAAGCCTGGTTCTGCCCCACCTCCCACCCTCTGATTCTGGAAGCCATTCAGTATTTTGGTAATAAATATTCCTTTCTGCTTGTAGTAAGAAGCCTTACTAATACAGATGGCTGCCCTTGAAGCTTTTCTCAGACCCCTGGGCCTTACCCCCTGCTATCCTTTTTAGTTTACATTTACTGTTTTTGAATGTAATTTGAGAAATGCAGGAAAGGAAAATGTAAATTTCACTTGTAGCGCTGTTACAAAGAGATAATTACCCTTAACAATTGACCATATTTATTTTTAGACTTTTCTGCTGTTTTTTTAATCACTGAGATAATATTGTATATATAATTCTGTAACTTAATTGTCTTAATATCTTGTAAGAATGTTCCCTGTCAAAAAGCCCCTCCTTTTTAAAGTGTGTTGTTGAGTAAGTCAGGAGTGGCCTGGTCCTGGGGGAGGTGCTCAAGCTGGGCCGGAGTCCCGCTGCATTGTCTGTGAAAGAGGGGCTTGCTAAATGCAAAGTGAGGCATAATTGTTAAGGAGGCATGTAACCTGCTTAGGTGAATAAGCTGCTCTGAGGGACATTAGCATGCTTGTTGTTGTCATAGTTCCTTTGTTCTGCTATAACAAAACCACCTTAGACTGGGCAACTTGTAAACAACAGAATTCATTGCTCTTGGATCTAGATGCTGGGAAGTCCAAGATTAAGGTGATGGCAGATTTGGCATCTGGTGAGGGCCTGTTTCTCATGGATAGTACCTACTTTTTGTGCTCACATGACAGAAGGGGCAAGGGAGCTTGTTGGAGCCCTCATGACTTAATCACTTCCCAAATGCCTCTTAATACTATCATATTGGTGGGGTATTAGGTTCTAATACATGGATTTTGGGGGACACCAACATTCACACCATAGCAGTTGTACATAATGGGATGGAGTGGTAGTTGTTGTGATGGGTCATCTATTCTATTTTTAAATTTTTAATAAAAGTAGAGATGGGGTCTTACTATGTTGCCCAAACTGTTCTCAAACTCCTAGCTTCAAGCAGTCCTCCTGCCTTGGCCTCCCAGAGTGTTGGGATTACAGGGATGAGCCATCATGCCCAGCCAAGTCATCTTGTTTTTTGGTGGAGGGGGTTTCTCACTTTGTCACCCAGGCTGGAGTGCAATAGTACAAACATGACTCACTGCAGCCTCAACCTCCTGGGCTCAAGTCATCCTCCTGCCTCAACCTCCCGTGTAGCTGGAATCATAGGCACCTGCTACCATGCCAAGCAAAGTTTTTGATTTTTTGTAGAGACAGAGTCTCATTTTGTTGCCCAAGCTGGTCTTGAAATCCTAGGGTCAAGTGATCCTCCCATCTCAGCCTCCCAAAGTGCTGGGATTACAGGTGTGAACCACTGCGCCTGGCTCCAGGTTCCAAGTCATCTATTCTTGAATAGAAGCCTGGTTTGATTTTTTAAACTATAGTAACTCTAATTAATTCTACTTAATTGAAACTAAGACGACTTCCCTTTTTTGAAAATCTCTGCTCCCCCTTATTTTGCCCCTAATTCAAACTGTCTGTTTTCTAGTCAGTCTGAAGTAATGATTAGCTAATGATACAACATTTTATTTTCAGTTTTTACTTTTCAAAAATGATTTTTAATTGTAGTAAACTACATGTGACCTAAAATCTATCTAACATCTTAACTATTTTTAAGTGTATACAATAAACCCTTTTTAAAGTGTGTTCAATAGTATTAAATACATTCCCACTGTGTGCAGCCAGTCTCCAAAACTCTTCATCTTGTAAAACTGAAACTCTATACGCATTCAGCAACAACTCCCGATACCCTCCTACCTTCAGCCCTTGGCCATCACCATTCTACTTTCTACCTCTATGAATCTGATGTAAATGGAATCATACAATACACTTCCTTTTATGTGTAGCTTATTTCAATCAGCATAATACCTTCAAGGTTCATTCATTTTGTAATATGTACCGGAATTTCCTTCTTCTTAAAGGCTAAGATTCCATTGAATGTACATACACATTTGGTTTATCCTTTCATCCGTCAGTGGATGCTTGGGTTACTTCCACCTTTTGGCTATTGTGAATTTATTCTCATTTTTAAATGGGATGTTTTGTTCCATTTCAGGGTAAGAAGTTGCCTTATCATCTTGGGGATGATGCAGAGGAAGGGGAAGTTTCCGATGAGGACAGTGCAGATGAAATTGAAGACGAGTGCAAATTCAAGCTCCATTATGTAAGTTGCAGGCATGACCATATTTTTTATCCTTGATATGCTGTATTACAATGGAGTTCCACGTTGCTACTGTGTTGGAGGCCTCACAATTATGGTGGCTGTGGTGTAGAAAGGATATTCATTGAAAATTACTTTGTTTGCTGGCACACAGACACTCAAATGTTTGTTGAATGAATGATTCAAGGATTCTTGTGTCTGAGTGTTGAAAGGAATTTTAGTGATTAATTCATTCAACCCTCTCTCCAGGTATCAATTTCCTATTACAGATTCAAAAATCAAATTGTGGTTGAAAAAGTTACTGTCTTTGGTAATAAAAGCTGGCTTTACTTTAGCGTTGACTTCCCTACCTCATGCTAGCAGCCCCACCATGCTCCCTGTCAAGGCTGGCTGGAGGAACCCCACCTGCATGTGGGCCTGCTTCTCTGGGATGCCCATCCCCTCTTTAAGAAAATGTACCTTGAACCAGAGGGATTTTCAAGCCCTTCCAGACATGGACCTCTTGGCTAAATCTTTAATTTGCCAAGTCTTCAATAAAGTGGCATAGAATAGTATGTTACTTGCTTGGTGCGTCAGCCCCCTTTTCTAAATGAAGGAGCCTCCTTTGTAGAAAAGCATCATTGAGGCCGGGTGCAGTGGCTCACGCCTGTAATTCCAGCACTTTGGGAGGCCGAGGCGGGCAGATCATAAGGTCAGGATATTGAGACTATCCTGGCTAACATGGTGAAACCCCGTCTCTATTAAAAATACAAAAAAATTAGCCAGACGTGGTGGTGGGTGCCTGTAGTCCCAGCTACTCGGGAGGCTGAGGTGGGAGAATGACGTGAACCCAGGAGGAGGAGTTTGCAGTGAGCCAGGATTACGCCACTGCACTCCAGCCTGGGTGACAGAGCGAGACTCCGTCTCAAAAAAAAGAAAAAAAGAAAAGAAAAGCATAATTTAGCTAGGTGATCCAAGGGAAATTCAAACCTGAGGGAAATATAAGACTTAAAAAAGTGCCTCATTGCTCCTTTCTATAACTCATGTGATTGCTAGAATCACACAGCAACCTGAGAGTAGCACTCGCTGATGATAGTTTGGTATAGAATTTTATTTCTACAGAAAAGGTTAGTCCTCTAGACATCAGGACTATGATTCTGCCCTCTGAAAGGAGAAAAAAAAAAAAAAAACCGAGAAATTTTGTATACATTCTTGTAGTTTACATCATTGCCCTGAATTCAGTTATTATATTGTTAACAACAGTCCAACTCTTCAGATAATTCTGTGATGCCTTTCCTGTGGTTGTGAAAATGAGCTGGCATTATTTTCAAAGGGGACAAGAGTTTAATGACAGCTGAAGTCTCAGTAGACACTTCTTTCTTGGCTTTAATGCCCTTTAAATGGGCTAAATGGAGAAGATTCAGCTTGAAGTGAAAAGGAAAAGTTACCATCTGTATTCTTCTCTTGCCTTTTAATAGTTTATGTTAGCAAAATTAAATACCATTAATTAATAGGGCTATGGTTACAGAAAATCTCAATAGATTTACGTGTTTGAAAACTATGCTATGTCATTATACAGTTAATATTTTAAATAGTTGGTTTTTTCTCTTCTAGGTATTTATTTTTTATAGTTATTTATGATTATGGATAATTTAGCCTTAGTTTTTAGCATTACTTTATAAACCAGATTTTTGTCTCTGATTTTATCATTTTACATCTTGTTTTCTAGATCTCTTGGTTGCCAGCCGTAGTGTAGATCTATCATTATTCACTTAGCTATTTCATTTTTCTTCTCCAGTGAGCTCTCCAACTTCCTAAGTTCAATATATGTGATTATGCAAAAATAGTAAGCTGTAGTCTTATGGGAACAAATAAATAATTTCACCTGTGAAGTATCCAACTAGATTCCTCTTTTCTTTACTAAGAGTAGTTGATTTCTGGACACTCACATCAGGAGATGGTTTAGAACGTGATTCCATGGAGTTAGATATGATCTTTCATTTGGATTCTTTGGTGTGGCCCTAAGTGAAAGTAGAACACCTTAACTGTAAGTTTACAGGCATCTCTTTGTTATGTTTTAGAAGAGAAAATAAATAAATCAACATTGAAGAAATATTGGAGAAATATTTCGAATTGTTTTTTGCTATTTTTGAGCTCTTCTGAGAAAAGGCAATGCTGTGTTTAGAAAACCAAAGTGTTATCTTGTAATCAGACCATTTATAGTCCTATTGTTGGCAGAGGGCTCAAATGCCCTATCTGACTGGGGAATTTATAATAAATTCCCTGATAAACTGAATATCTGAAAATATTTCTGCAAAAGAGGGTGTACTTTGGATAGTTTATGTGAACCAATAATTAATCTGAGAGGAAGCTTTTAACCTCAGTTTTAAGTTGAGAGAATGTGGTTAGATTTATAAGTTATATCTGAATTAGTGCAATGAATACACATTTTAACTTTGCATTCATTTACACTGGAACGTCAACTCTCATGAGGTCATATAAGATTCATTTGCACATTCAATAAACTTTTATTAAACATCTCCTGTTGGACATGTGCTCGTCATGTTGTAGGTACTGGATGATATATCAGTAACAAAATAGACAAAAATCATTGCCTTCGTGAAGTTTACACATCATTGGGAGAGGATGAGGATAGACAAGAAACAAGACAAATAAGTAAAATATATAGTGTACTAGACAGTGATCAGTGCTAAAGGAAAGAAGGGTGTGTGTGTCTGTGTGCGTGTGTGCACACTTATGCTGTGTATATGTAAGGGATCTATTGAAGTTTTAGATGGGATGTCCAGGAAAGGCCTCACAGGGAAGATGCATTTGAACAAAGGCCTGAAAGAAGTGAAGAGTTAGTCATGCTGATACCTGAGGAGGAATGTTCCAGGCAGAAAGAACCCCCAGTGCAAAGGCCAGAGGCGGGATTTGAGGCTCTCCCAGTGCCACCCTGGAGTTAGAAGCAGAACAGGAGGACAAGACTCCTGTTACTTTTAAGCAAGCAGTTTAAGCCATACTGTGGCTCCAGCCATAGAGAAAATCTGGCTTATAATGGGTAAGCCACAAGGTAAAGCCAGTGTGTTCGGTGACCCAAGAATCATACAACGCAGAGACACACAGGACGACTTCCTTTCAACCAGAGTAGTAATCTAACAGATTTGATTCTGTGAGGCAAAGTCACCATTATTCATCTTTATGGATCTTCTAATGTCAGCGTGCTCTACACACTTTCCACCTCTGTATTTCAACTTCATTAATTTTTTTCTGCTTCTGATGAGTTATGCAGTATCTTTTTTCTTATGTTCTCTAAATCTGTTTAGCCAGATTCTCGGGCATAAACATTAGCTCTATATCTCCTACATAAAGCTCATCCCATAAACACCAAGCCTTCCAGCAAGTTCTAAAGGAGTCCTAGTGCAGTGACATGTAGCAATTTTTGTCTTACGCTCTAAAACCATTATTCAGACTGCATGTGTATATCTCTCACTAAACATTTTAATCATTTTCCTCCCTCATCTTTTTTCCTAAGTCATTCCTTTTATGCTTTGAGCTGTCCTAAGAAGGATTGTGAATCTTGTTTGTTTAAAACATATCAGCACTCAAAGACAGAATGAGTTACCTCTTGAGGTTGCAAGGTCTTGCTATTGGAAAGCATTCATTGGGTCAAAAAGCCCAAGTGCTGGGCATACTAGTACATCCTGGCAACAAGAGGTAGGGAATGATAAAGGTGGCTTGGAATCTCCCTGGAAGATCCTAGTTGTTTCTAATACATGGATATGACTGGTCCTTGAACAGAAGAATGTGTTGTTAAGTGAGCTACAGGAGCAGGCAGGTGACGGTAGAGGACAGGAGTAAACACACAGGCTTGAATGGCTGAGAAGCAGCTGTTCTTCAGCTGAGACCTTCAGGTCTTACAGCTTGGAAAGCAGTGAGGCACTCAGAAAAGCCAGCAATATATTATTCTTCCCATCTTTGGACTTTAGCCAAAGGAAAAAAAAATGGGGGGGATGTTGAAATACTTCAGTTTTTAGTTTTTTCCCTCCCTTTTTTTTTTTTTTTTAAAGCAAAGCAAAGGTCCTCAACTTTTTTGCTTTTTTGTTTTGTTTTGTTTTTTTTAAAGCAAAGGTCCTCAACTTGGGCCACGCATTGGTATGATGGGTAGTTTTCAAAAACCCCAGTGTCTGGGTCTTGGCCCAGGGATTCTACTACATGGGTCTGGGGCATGGCCTGGGATTTCTGAGCACTCCACTGGTGCTGGCAATGTGTAGTGCAGGTAGAGCCCACTATTTGGAAGGTCCCTTTCAAGGAGCAGCACCCAATTTCTCCCCTTTCCTGGATCTTTCCAGTCTGGAATGATGGTCGTGGTTTGGGGCATCCTTCTGAGTATTTAGCAATGATTTAGCTTCGTGCTGGAGACAAAATGAGAATGTGTTTAATGTATTTACTTGTGGTAGAGGAATTTCTGGATCAGACTTATCTCTCAAAAAAGGACATAGAGAACTCTGATTACTTCTCTGGTGGAAACTACCCACCATATGAAATGACTGCTCTCTCCTGGTCCCCAGCTGCAGCGTCCTTCCTCGCCCACTGGCCCAGAGAACAAAAGACCAAGATACCTATGGCTTTCAGCTGTGGTCCCTGCTGCAGCTGCATGGTGCCTGGTAGGTCTCGAGGTCAAGTGTCTGTCTTAGCTTCCTTTCAGTAGTGCTATTGGATTCCAGGGCCGAATGATAATATATTAATGAAACCTCAGCCACACATTTATTTGTTCTTCACAGTTGCCAATTTTCTTGTGCTGTAAATCACAGAGGAGAAAAAGATCAACAGACAGAGATATGATTCCTTTAGCAGCTCCCAATGTTTGGAGGATGTGAAGTAAATAATCATAGCGTTTGTGTTAAACATTCATTATTTTACCAGCTCTGGGTTGGCTTTGGCTTTGTATTTTGAGCCTTGCCTTGCTGACAGTGAAAGTGACTTGGTGTCATGGCCACAGATCTTCTCCTTACTTTAAGTCTCTGCCTCTTTGTGAGGCCCTGAGTGAGGGAAGGAAATGGATGCTCATTTGGAGCATTCTGTATGACACTGGATACCCTAGGTGCTCTTACATGCTTTCTTTTTTTTTGTCCTCTCAACAAATGCACACTCCATTGGGCCCTGGGTCTTGATCAAATGCGTTGGGGGTTAGAGATGTGGAGTTCTTTTCTTGGATTTGCTTTTGACCTTAAGTGAAATTGTTTTTCCCAGAGGGATTGTGATGATGTATTTCCCTGGTTTCATGATAGAAATAATGGCTTTTTAAAATATGAACCTGTATGTGGTTACTTTGACTCAAGAATTTCTCTTTTTCTATAACAATGTAAGAGGGATGGCTGCCACATTGTATGGAAAAATAGACACAGTCTTGAATGGGAAGTCTTAGGAGGTTCGAGCTGCAATTCAGCCATTTTCATAGGCATGTGTGTTTGGTTAAGTGGTTGAACCTTTCTGCCTGTGTCATTACGAGAAAGAATTGGCTAACCTAGTGTTTGCCTTAAATGGGGTTCAGCAGCTCAAATGAAGTATCTTTACATGACAGTGCTTTGGAAGCCTTAGTACAATACAGTCTCCCCCTTGTTTGTGGGTTTGCTTCCTGCAGTCAATCATGGCCCAAAATATTGAATGAAAAATTCTATGAATAAACAATTTGTAAGTTGTGAATTGTGTACCATTCTGAGAAGTGTGATGAAATCTTGCACTGTCTACTCCACCCCACCTGGGATGTGAATCATCCCTTTGTCCAGTGTATCCAACCATTACTATGTGGGAAGAAACATAGCATACATAGGGGTCAGGAATATCCATTGCTTTCAGCATCCAATGAGGATTTTTTGATGTATCTCCCACGCATAAAGGGGGCCTACTGGGTACAATCTTAGTTGCTTTTTCTATATTTCCCTGTGGCTCTTCTCTCCTTGCTCATATGATTACTGGTTCTTTTGATACTTTTTGTTTACTCCATGCTTTTCCTCACATTGAAATGCTGTCCCCCTACTCTTTGCCAGATGATCAGCTCTTAGTCATGACAGTGGGTTGATTTGTGGCCACTGAAAGATAGGTTCAAGTCTTAACGCCTGGTACCTGTGTATGTGAGCTTATTTGGAAAAAAAGGGGCTTTGCAGATATAATTAAGTTAAGGACTTCAAGATAATATAATCCTGGGTTAACCATGTAGGCCCTAAATCCAGTGATAAGTGTCCTCATAAGAAGAGAAGACACAAACAGGTGGATGAGACATGCATGAGAAGACCATATAAAGACAGAGGCAGAAATTGGAGTGATGCTGCCACAAGCCGAGGAATACATGGGGCTATCCTAAGCTGGAAGAGACAAGGAAGGATCCTCCCCTAGAGCTTTCAGAGGGAGTGTAGCCCTGCCAACACCTAAATTTCATACTTTTGGCCTCCAGATGTGTGAGAAAATAAGTACATTTCTATTGTTTTAAGATACCAAGTTTGTAATAGTTTGTTATATTGGTCACAGGAAACTTTATTTTATTTTATTATTATTTTTTAGAGACAGGGCTTTGCTCTGTGGCCCAGGCTGGAGTGAAGTGGCATGATCATAGCTTACTGCTGCCTCAAACTCTTGGGCTCACGGGATCCTTCCACCTCAGCCTCCCAAGTAGCTAGGACTACAGGTGTGTGCCACCATGCCCAGCTAATTTTGTAAATTTTTGTAGAGACAGGGTCTCACTATATTGCCCAGGCTGTTCTCAAACTCCTGGGCTCACGCGATCCTCCCAGTTTGGTCTCCCAAAGTGCTGGGATTACAGACACATGAGCCATGGCACCCGGCCAAGTCACAGGAAACTAATATACTCATCTTTTAAGGCTTGACTCAGGTTTCTTCTGCTCCTGGAAGTGTCCCCTGATTCCCCTAGGCTGGACAAGGTGCGCCTCCTCTGTGCGCATATGCTACCCCTCACACCTGTCACTCTACTTGTTCCTGCTTGTGTAATTATCCAGGGATGTGTTGGCCTTCTCCATGACACTGAGGGCTCTGTGACAGTGGGTGGTATTCCTCTTTAATACTTCTCACCTGGCACAGCAGACGCTCAATACATGTTTTTTTTTATTTTATATATATACAAAATGAGTTTTGTCCCCAAATTATCTCTCAACTTTGTTAACTACCCCCAGCACATTATCCTAGGCACTCAGTTCCTGCAGTGGGGCCCAGTGTGCCTGATGTTTCATCTGCAGACACACTTCCTCTTTTGGCACACCCTGCCAGATTAATATTGTTTCTAGAGATGCTACACAAGGACTTGTTCACTCAGACTCTCTTAGCAGCTCCATACCTCTTGCTTTCAAGTCCCTCCACTCTCCAAAGTTCTTTATCTGCCACTACCGTACCCTGTGAACTCTAAGAAAACTCATGTGTTCTTTGCATTTACAGAACATTCTTAATTCATGTAAATCCTTTGCTAGAACTGTGGTTGGCAGGAAAGCCTTTCTTTCCATCACTGTTGAAATCTCAGTTACATTGAGAGCTCCGATCAATTCCCACCTCTTTTTGGGGCCTTCTCAGTCACTCAGGCAGTAATGCTGTGTTCCTTATCAGAAACTCTGTTGTATTGGTTGTCTGTGCTTTTGTAGGCATCTTTGTAGACCAGGGTAGAATATTTGGGGATATGTCTTTTCTAGCATGACAGGAGGGTGTTCCCTTATGGTGTTAGAGCCAACTCTTTTTCATCCTTGCATCTCCTTCTGGACCTAGAGGTCTCCAGGGAAGTGGAGTGCCTTGTTAATTGGGCTTGTTAAAGATATTAATGCATGTGATAGTGATACAGGGAAATCCGATAACCTATCCTGGTGTAGATTTTTGAAATTTTTCCTTAGGGCATTTATAGTTGCTTTGTTCTTACAGGATTTTGTGAAAATGAATGCATTATTGGAAAGCTACCCATTATGCAGAGTGGACATATAATGACCTCTTAGAAACAGATTTGCCAATGAAAGAACAGCCTTAAATTTTTGGTGAAGAATGTGGGAATTGTTCTTGTCAAGGAGTACCCCTTTCCTCCCTTTGGGTGGGTTGTTCTTCAGCAAGTGGTTGAAGAATTTAGGGAAAGGTATTGGAAACAGGGAGAGGTAGGCGCACTGGAAGAGCAGAAGAGCTGTGAATGGAGGCTGGGGCCATTGGTTTCAAGCAGAACAAGTGGCCGAAAAGCTGTGCTAAGCAGGGCTTTAAGAGAATCTATATCCCATGATCACCTCAAAATTCTGTGAGTCATCAGCTGGACAGGTCGTAGCTCTGATATCCAAACCCCTTGAAGTTCGTTGTGATCTTAAGTTAATTGTAATGACAAATCATGGCTGAGGTAATTATTGAGGTTCCCCCAACTATACAGTGGGATTGGAAATAGGCAGGAAATGTATCTCACAATAATCCTCAACTCCGGAAATTTCCATAGCATTCTTTTCTCCTCAGTGAAAAAGGTAGTTTTATTTTAATAGCATATTTTTGTTCTAATTTACTTATGTAGGTTTAGAAAACTTAGTTTCCAAAAACTTTCCCTGGCCTTTTATCTGTTAAAAGCATCAAATGGCATAAGCATAGTGGGAAGGGCTTTGGAGTCCTGAGTTTGAATCCTGCTTCAGTTATTTGCTAGCTATGTAACCTTGAGCAATTTACTTGATTTCTCTCAAAGCATCGGATTCCATATCACTGAAATGGAAATGATAATAATACTTATAAGGTTCCTGAGGATTGAATGCAGTCACATGAAGAGTAGCTGGCAGAGAATTAGTTCTTAATAAATAGTAATCCTTATTATTATAGGATTTGTGGAGGAGGGAAGACCGAGATGGTACAATGAGCTTGAGCTTAATTACTTACAAGTAATTGAGAGACAGTGAAATTACAGAAGCAACTGTGGTATATTCTAATTCAATGTGTTTCTTAAGGAAATCATTTGTATTACTTAATTCTTTGCAGAATAATGGGACCACTGAGCATCAGGTGGAATCTTTCATAAGGAAAAAACTGGAGTCACTGTTAAAAGAATCTCAAATTCGAGATAAAGAAGATCCTGATAGTTTCACAGTGAGGGCACTATTGAAGGCCACGCATGAAGGCTTAAATGCACACCTGAAGCAGGTATCTGATTCCCTCTTGTATTTATCCTTCAACAGGAAAAAGAAAGCATCTCATACGTTGTTTCTAATCATTTGTGAAATGCTCCTCCAACTTCTTCTATTTCTGTCCTCATTTTGCTTGAGAAATGAACATCTCCTATTGCAAAATGATATGAGAAATAGTTAAAAGTGGATTGGGTGGAGGTAGAAATGACTCAAATACTGCTCCACTTGGACCCTCAGGACCAAGCCGAGTGTTTTCAGAATCATCTTCCCAATGCATGCTCAGGTGAGGGAAGAAGTTCCAGGCCCCTGTGTCCCTTGCCTTCCCACCTCTCCACATTCATTAGATGTCTGCCTTCCCTGCTACTACCACCTGTTTTCCAGGGCTGACGGCTCCTCAGGCAGAAGGAAGATCATATGGGGGTGATCACCCTTGGATCCTAAGTGATCACTCTGCATTGATGGTTGCCCTCTGGACCCTACACGAGTCTAGCCATCCAACTGCTAGGCTGTTCCTCAGGCCCATTTAGTTTCTAAACATAGAAATCCTAATTCAAAATGGCTTCAATGATGAAGAAGATGTTGGGTTTGGTAAGCAGCAAATTTATTTGCAGAATGGCCTATGGGGTGGGTTTAATCCAGAGGCTCGGTGGTGTCATCGTAGATCTATCTTTTTGCTCTACCTATCATGCTATCAGTGTCATCTCAAGTCTAGTTCTCCTGTCCATCAACTGTCCATGATGGTTGCGAGATGACTGCCAACAGGCCCATGAGCTACGTGTTTCTTGGTCCATATCCAGAGAGATTGAGACAGCATATTCGCCCCAACTAACAAACGAGAGTTGCCTAGTTCATGTGCCTACCCCTAAAGTAATCACAGTGGCCATGGGTAAGCGTCCTTCCTGAAACAGTACTTGGCCAGAGTATAGGATCATAATAGCTTGCTAATGCCAGTGAGAACTTACCACTGAAGCTCTTGTCAAGGTTAGCTCCTCTCAAACTGCATGTTAGAGGGGCAGATGGAATACTGGGGAGACAACCAAAAGGTCAATTACAGCATTACTGCCCTTACAGTTTATCATATAATTCTGGATTTTCTTAATAATTTCTATAAATAGTAACAATCTTCTCACCCTCCTCGCCTCCAGCCATTTATTTTCAACACCAGAAGTACCTGTAAGATCAGACTTGTTTAGCCTATCTTGATTCTGCTTCTTGTTCTTAGTGAACTCTCATTGGCTTATCTGGGCCAGTTACTTTTTTTATGCGTTTGGAGAAGTCTTTGCCCCATCCTAGATTATCTAATTGGAAATGCAAACCATAAGGCTTGGATATTCTGGAAGAAACAAATTAAGCCCCCTCTCTTTTGCTATTCATTAAAGAGATCCTAATGACAATTTCTCCATCAGGTAAAATGGTAAGAGAACCGAAAATTTTAGAGAGGTAGTGTAGCAAAACTCATCTTCTTTTTACTTATTTTTGAGGTTTTTTAACACTGCTGTGTTTTAAAAATATGGTTTTAGTTCACTGGGCAAGCAAAGGGAAGTTACTGTTGAGACGAGTCCATCTGTACCACATACATATGTCGGTTGAAATCCAAAGCTGAGAATGTGCTGAGTGTGGCTCTGGGCAGCACGTCACTCCAGCTTCTACTTTTCTGGACCGTCAATCAACAGTGCAGAATTCATTTCTATTTGTGCTGTCTTTTTCCTGCGGAACCCTGAAGAAAAGTAAAAATGAAATTCACCTTCAGGCTGGAAGAACTTAATAGTCACAGGAAATGGTTCTTAAGAGTTCTGGAATCTGCTGCTTTCTTTATATCTGAACTACTGCTGCCTGGATAACCTTAACAAGTTCCTAAGCTCTCAGCTGGCTGCTTAATGTCTCATTCACACCACTGCCATAGTGATAGTTCAGAAATGTGCATCGGGTCATGTCATTCTCCTGTTTTCAACCATCTCAGGGATCCTCATAGTTTGGAGGATAAAGCTCGGATTCAGAGATAATAGCCCATAAGATCCTTCCTTCCTGTTCTGGCTCCTAGCGGTGACACGCACAGAGTGTGCATGTGTATAAGTCCACACGTGCATACCTCCACTTTCCACATTTCCTGGCACCATGCTCTTACCACATGGCTTTCGTTTTGGCTGTTTTCTTGGCCATAGTACACTTGCTCTTCCCCATTTTACGTAGATAACTTGTACTCATCTTTAGGCTTCAGCTTTTGTATCATGTCCCCTTGGAAGTTCTTAATCCTCAAATACAGTAGATGGTCTCTCTCTGCCATCCCACAGTGCCCTAAGCTTTCCCCATTATAGTCTTATGACAGTGTATTGTAATCATTTGTCTCTACTATTAGACTGCAAGCCCAATAGGGGCAGAGTCTGCATCTCTTTTGTTTGCTCTTGTCCTTATATACATGCCAAGTTCCTAGGACAATGTCTTACTCATTAAATCAGTGAAAGATGTGCCGATGCTCAGGGAGAGGTCCAAGTTGGTGATAGATATTTGTAGATATCTATTTCCTACATAAAGAGCATGATAATGGGATAGAAAATGTTGGGGAAGTGGAAGGAAGCCAGAGAGAGGACTTGTAACTAGACAGAATCCTGTTTTATCACCAACGAGCTTTGTAACTTTGGGAATATAATCTAACTTGTCTGTATTTCTGCTTTCCTTTTCTGTAAAATTGGGATTTTAATCATACTTATTTCCAGGGTTGGTTACATATATTCTCACAGTAAATGAGAATATATGTAATGTAATTAACATTATCCTTAGGGTATAGTAGGTGCCTACTAAATAGTGTGACCATATACCTCAATTTGCCTGTGACAGCCATGCTTTATACCTGTTGTCCCAGCATAATTATTAAAAGTATCCCATTTTATTCTTAAAAGGTCCTGTTTTGGACAATAAATGGCATGGGCCCCCTACCAATAGATGGGTTACTGGAAATAGAAAGGAACTCACAGATTAATTGGTTCATTTCACAGATTTAAAAAAAACAGACCAAAAGAAGAGGCTTTCTAAAGGACATGTAGCTATTTGGTGGCAGAACTGGGTCTTCTAACTTGGAGACCAGTGCTACATCTATGACCACATCTGGCTGCCTTCTTAATTCCACAGTTTTGGCCGGGCGCGGTGGCTCAAGCCTGTAATCCCAGCACTTTTGGGAGGCCGAGACGGGCGGATCACGAGGTCAGGAGATCGAGACCATCCTGGCTAACATGGTGAAACCCCGTCTCTACTTAAAAAAAAATACAAAAAACTAGCCGGGCGTGGTGGCAGGCGCCTGTAGTCCCAGCTACTCGGGAGGCTGAGACAGGAGAATGGCGTAAACCCAGGAGGCGGAGATTGCAGTGAGCTGAGATCTGGCCACTGCAGTCCAGCCTGGGCGACAGAGCGAGACTCCGTCTCAAAAAAAAAAAAAAAAAATTTCCACAGTTTTTGAACAGTTAATGATCTGCACTGATAGATCTCCGAAAGCAATAAACATACATGAATCAGTTAACAGTTACCTAACATCAGTCACCTTGTAAACCCCTCACCATTACTCCTCCAGCATTTTTTGAACTGCTCTTTCCCCAACCAGTTCTTGGACTTCACCCAACCTCTTCCCACCTCTACTTGCATCTTTGATTAGCATCTATGGGCATATACAGATGCCCTTCCCAACCTTTTGGCTTTAACTGTTTTTGCTCACCCACATTTGTTCCATTTATGTGGTTACCTGTTTCTCCTCTGTTTAGCTGGAGTCCTGGTCAGGTAGGGCCTACTGGTCTCTCCTTATACCATGTTATTAGTATTGAACCACCTAACATATTTTTAGGGATGACAAATGAATAAGAGTTTAAACCCTCTTAGCAGGTGGCCTTTTGTTCCCTAATGAGACATAGGCTCCAGGAAAGAGAGTTGGCCCAGTATCTCTAACTGGAAAATTAACCTATGTGAGGAAAAATTCAGAGGCTACAATACCTCTTTCCAGTGCTCATCACAAAGAGAATTATTTCAGCGAACCGATACACTTTGCTTGGTTTACTTTAAACAAACAAAAACAATCTTATTATGTCATAGATATCCTTGGATTTTATTTATTTATAATGTTTTAAAATCCCACATAGCACTGTTTAGTCAATGTGATCCACTTTCTTTATTCAATAGAATTGGCTGCTAATGACTTTTGGTCATTTTCCAAAACTGAATCCCCACTTAACTGAAAATGACTTAACCCCACTCAGAACATTTAAAAGAACACATCCTGTGCTGTGGAGAGCCTGGTGAACAGGCGCCATGAGGGCCAGCACACCTGCACACTGCTGAGAGCCCTTGACCTTAGCTTTGGGAAGGTACAGGCAGCTGCTGCGTCCTGGCTGGTATCCATCTCTCCGTGCCAATATTTCCCTTTCCAAGTCAGGCAGAGCCACCTTTGTGGTAGTGGAGTGTGGAGCAGGAGGAAATGAGTGGAGTCTGCTTGTTTCTCACCTAGAGGCAAACAGAAGAGAAGAGAGGGCCCCCTTGCCATTCCACCAGAACTAAGGAAAAAGACAAAAGCAAAGAAGATAAATAGTTATATTGTGCCTTTGTTTACTCAGAGTCCAGATGTAAAGGAAAGTGGAAAGAAATCACATGGACGATCGCTCATGACCAACTTCGGAAAACATAAGGTATGAATTAAGAGTAATAAATATGCATAATTCAGTTAATTTAAAGATTCTGGAAGGTAACAGGAGAATATCATCATGACCTTGGAATAACTGAAGATTTCTTAAACAGGACATCAGTAAAGGGAAAGACTGATATTTAAACTACTTTAAAAGTTAAGAACTTCTACACATCAACAGTATCAAAAAGCAAGTTACATATTGGGAAATAATATTTTGAATACATATATCCAATAATATATCCCAAAAAACTGTATTTAACATCTTAAATACACATATCCAATACATAATAAATATGTGTTACTAAAACTGGGGTGTGTATTATATATTCTATCCTGAATTTATAAATAGCTTCTATAAATAAATAAAAAGAGAGGCACCCTAATTTCTAAAAGATGGGCAAAACCCTTAAACAGGCACTTCACAGAAGAAGATATCCAAATTGCTGATAAAGAAAAGGGATTCACCTATCAGTCATCTGGGAAACACAATTTAAATGACTATGTGATTCCATATACACCCACCACAACAGATAATATTAAAAGACGGCAAGAACCAAATGTTAGTGAGGACAAAGAACTTGAATTCTCATACACTGCTTATAGTTGTGCACATTTGTGCAACTACTTTGGCCCACTATTTCACAGTATCTGACTACGTACTATGACTTAGCAGTTCTATTGTTAGGTATATGTCAAAAGACAGAAATAGGCCAGGTGCGGTGGCTCATGCCTATAATCCCAGCACTTTGGGAGGCCAAGGTGGGTGGATTACCTGAGGTCAGGTGTTCAAAACCAGCTTAGCCAACATGGCCAAACCCCGTCTCTACTAAAAATACAAAAATTAGCCAGATATGGTGGTGTGTGCCTGTAATCCCAGCTACTTGGGAGGCCAAAGCACCAGAATTGCTTGAACCCAGGAGGCAGAGGTTGCAGTGAGGCGAGATTGCGCCACTGCACTGCAGCCTGGGCAACAAGAGTGAAACTCCATCTACAAAAGAAAAAAAAGACAGAAATAACAATATTTATATTGAGATTGGTAATAGTACAAAGAGGAAAAAGTACAAATGTCCATTGATAATAGAATGAATAAAAATTGTGGTGTATTCACATAAGAGAATAGTTAACAACTAAGAAAATGACAAAATTACAACTATATGCAATAATATGATGATCTTTATAAACATGATGTTGAACAAAATAAACCAGACCCAAGAGAGTACATACAGTTTGATTCCATTGATATTAAATTCAAAACCAGGCAAAAGAAACCCTATAGAGTAGACATCAGCATAGTTATTACCTCCACAGAGAAAGGAATGACAGTGTTGGAAGATCAGAAGGCTTTTGGGAGACAGATAATATTCTATTTCATCATATGTGTGGTTGATTTGTGAAAGACATCAACCTGTACACTTATGACCAGTGTGCTGTCCTAACTGTATGTTATACTTCAATAAAATAAAAAAAGTTACACTAACTGGTGTCTTCTGGACAGATTAGCTGTTTGACAGTAAAACTTATAAGAATTCGATTATTAGATGGTGAACTTTACTTTATACATGAGGTTTCTGTAAGGCCGTTTCTTCTACTTTAAGGAATGTCATATATAGAATTTCCTGCCCATCAGTGAGATAATTTATTAGTAGACTAGTCAGATTAGTCATTGTCACAAAATATTGAAAACAACCAAAATATTCACCCCCAAAGAGTGTGTAAGTAATCTGTGAGTCATTCACATAATGGACAATTATGCGGCCATTAAAATATGATCCCTTGGAAGAGCTCAACATGTGAAACATTAAATGAAAAAGTAAGGTGAGAAGTTGATTCTATGGTACGATAACCATGAAAAGATGTGTCAAAACTGGATGTCCAGAAAGTATATCACTCTCTGAATGTTATTATCTGTCATTGGTGATTCATTTATTATTTCTAACTTTTGCATTTTATAGTAAAAATGATGCTTAAAAAGACATTTATTATTGTATAACTCAAATTACTATGTGGAATTAGAGAGTATTTCACTTCTGGTTTGCAACTTGTCATTACAATTAAAATAGTCTTTCAAAATAGATGTTTTAGGGAGTACTTCACCTAATTAAAATTTATCATACCTCAAGTTATAAGAACAAATTGTTGTCCATGAGACTATTTATAGATTATTTTAATAAATATTGACAGTATTTTAAATGGAAAGTTAATGTTATATAGATTAGAGAATGACTTTCTGTGCCATTTATTTAATCATCACAACAATAATCCTTTGAAATAGATGTTCTTGCCACACTTTTTCTAAAGATCCAATAGGAAGCTAGTGAGGTTAGCCAGTTTACCAGCTTCATGAAAGGTGGAACATGAGATCATCAAATGGTAGGGCTTCCATACCTGCATGCTGAGATTCTCAAGGCATAAATAATACCGGAGAAAGTTCCAAACCAAACAGGCACCTCACAGTCAGTGCAATAGATAGAAGTTGAGTATGTTTATGCCAGCCATGTAGCTTTTTTGATTTTGGGGTGGGAGTTGGGGGAAACATGAGAAAATCTAGAAAGTGGCTGGTCCTATGGTAATTTGGGGATGGAGACCCTTTCCCTTTCTAAGCCACATTCCTGACGTCCAGGGTTCTCTGTCTAAACATCTTACTTTTGTTTGTAGACACTGTATTTTTGATGGCAAGGTTGTCTGCGATTATTGGGGTGGTCCTTCCCCATCATTTGTATTGTTTATTTATTTATTTAGAGATGGAGTTTCATTCTTGTTGTCCAGGCTGGAGTACAATGGTGGAATCTCAGCTCACTGCAACCTCCACCTCCTGAGTTCAAGCGGTTCTCCTGCCTCCACCTACCAAGTAGCTGGGATTATAGGCACCTGCCACCACGCCCAGCTAATTTTTGTATTTTTAGTAGAGATGGGATTTCACCATTTTTTGACCAGGCTGGTCTTGAACTCGTGACCTCGGGTGATCCACCCGCCTTGGCCCCCCAAAGTGCTGGGATTACAGGCGTGAGCCACCACACCTTGCCCATCATTTGTATTGTTGAGGTCTGTGTTGCCTAAATACTGGGGCTATCTCCAAATTGATGGGGATGAAATCATACCATCCCAAAAAAGTTTTATTGTGAAACAGCTAATCTGTCCAAAAGACATCAGATTAGACCTGGAGCCTTTCAGCCTATATTCTGTGGGTAGCAATATTTTTTCCTGCTGATAGAAGTGAAAATGGGTCAAAATCTCAAAAGGGAGATTTGATTCAGATGGTCATTTGAGTGCATACTGATCAAAAGCAGAAATGGTAGTTATTCAATTTTTTTTTAAAAAAAATTACTACATGTCCTGTTTTAAAAAAACAAATGTGCCTTTTACAGTTTATTAATAGTGAGCTTCCCATACAAAAGGGCATTTTGTCCCTTATAATCATTTAAATAGATACTGCAACTTTGACTCTACCCCTAGTAGAAACCTTCAAAATGCATGACTAATAAAGTCTTTCTAATACATCAACTTTATGTGTCTTCGAAGTCAGTTTCTGAGCATGAAACTCTCAGTTTTGCATTAACATTTTAATATAATTATGGCCTTAGATATGCTTGTTATTAATGGTGAAGCAAACTGCAATATTTGGTCATTTTTTCCCTCCAAGTTATTATGCTTGTGCAAGACATGTGCATTTTAAAGCCCAGCTCATTCTCTGCATGTTGTAAATATACTTGATACAATGAGTTTGTTAAGTTTGTTTTGATTTTTCTGGCAGAAAACTACAAAATCACGGTCTAAATCTTACAGTACTGATGATGAGGAAGACACACAGCAGAATACTGTCAAGGAGGGTGGCCAGCTGTACAGGTAAGAAAGCATCTCCATGTCTCCTACTCACACTCCTGAGGCCCCTCCATCTTTGTCAGCTTAGTCATTTTTCTTGTACGTGTCTAGAGAATTGGATCACAAGGAAAGTACTCTGTGCTGTGGAACATGTGAAGAACAGCTGGATATGAAATGATAGTTTATGTAGGGAACTCAGCACTGTGCCTGGCACATAATGAGCTCTTTATAAATGTTAGCTGCAGCGGTTGTCAAGTCAAAGGTATTTTCAGAGAAGAGGGAGGGAGCACATGAACTAATACAAAGGCCGTCACAAGAGACTAAAGAAGATGGATGCTAAGCCCATGTTAGGAGCCAAGCATCTGAAATCAGCCAGATTTCAAATTTTTGCTCCTCCACTTACCAACTTTAACATGGGACGCGTTTGGCTCCTCATTGTATCTGTCCCTTAAAGTCATTGTAAGGATTAAATGAATTAAACTAATTAGCCCCGTAAGCCCTGGCCCAATTAAATAAGTATCCAAAAAAAGTTCTTTTTTGTTTGTTTGTTTTTATTGCCAGTAGTATTTGTGATGAGTAACATGACCGTATTTTCAGAATCCAAATGGTGACACATGATTCATTACAGGAGTTCCTGGCAGTTTATTTATACCATAACATTCACAAAGAAATACAAATTATATACATTAGATAGATATGGATACATACACACACTTTTGCCTTTATTGAAAAATGAAATTAGAAGCATAGAAGCCCTGTAGGAATAAAACTTTAGTGTTCAATTAAACTTTATATTTGAGCTCCAACAGAATATCTACACACAAACTAGTAACTAATTAGAAGGGCAGAGGAGATGTATGTGGTCCCTACTCTAGGGAACAGAAAATTGAATATATAGTTACAGTAAAGGATAAAGAGAAAATAATAGGATCACCTTCTGGGAGACCTCTGCTGTGACTGTTGTCATATGTAAGTTTGAGAAAGGCTTAACTCTGACACATATAGCCAGGGAAAAGGCAGTGTTTGAGGAAAGCTACAGTAATCTTAATGTGTGCAAAGGAGACGTCAATACAGGTATCATATGAAATCATTTTGCATGCTGCTTAGTGTCAACTATAGGTTTTCCCATAATAGTTATCAGGGCCTGAGCATCTATGATGATGTCGTTTTGGGACTTCAGTAACCTAAGGCACCTCTAGGATGAGGAATAAAAAGAGTTAATTTTCTGTAGAATTTCTCCATCTCACGGAATGTCTTACAGTTTTACTTATAATTGTGAGGCATGACTTCACAGTGATTTATAATCATTAGCCTTCACAAAATCAGATTTTCACCAGTGGCTGTAGAGTTTCCTAATTATATGGTAAAGAAGGAGCATGCATTCTTTTTCTATTGATTTTTACCGCAGTAAAGTTCTCAGCAGACCATCACATTCCCCGCACATACCCACTTTTCTCCTATAGGGGAACATCTAACTATTGAAAAGAAACCTCACGAAAGAAGATATGCAAATGGCCAATAAACACATGAAAAGGTGCTCAACATTATTAGACATTAGGGAGATATAAATCAAAACTACCTTTTCACACCCACTAGGATACTTACAACCAAAAAGGCAGGCAATAACACATATTATTTCTGTTCCCTAGGGTATGGACCACATACGCCTCCTCTGCTCTTCCTAATTAGTTACTATTTTATGTATAGATATTCTGTTGGAGCTTAAAAATATAAAGTTTAATTGAACACTAATGTTTAGGTTTGATTTTGGTAGTTATGTTTCCCATAGGAGAAAAGTGTGTGTGTGAGGGGAATGTGATGGTCTGTGGAGGACTTGACTGCAGTAGAGAGTGGCGGTACAATTTGTAAGGTTGCAGAGCAGATCCTAGGAGTGGTTTGTAGGAGAGAGAAGACTATTAAAATATCTAAGATAAAAGCAGCACTAGATAAAGGAATGAATGTTTGTTTTAAGAAAGCTGGAGAATATAGAAAAAGTATAAAGAAGAAAGTTAACATCCTTTGTAATTACACCTGTCCAATAATCACTATGGAAATTTGGCATATTACCCTTTAGGTATATAACTCTTGTGGCCCACTACCCACTATACAGTGTTTCTGTTCCATTTTAGCCCGGGTCTCCTCCCTGCAAAGGCCATATAGTTTCCTGATGAACTCTGGTGTTACTCTCTAACTGGGTCACAGTGGGAATCCAGCCTTTCACAGCAGAACTCACAAATGCTTGAGGAAGAGGCTGTGATTCCTGGCAGAGCAGTGAATAAAACCACATTACATTAGTCCCCACGTTATCATGAGAAATGACTCCGGTGGGCACCTGAAACCACAGATAGTAGTGAACCCTCTCTATATATTGTTTTTCTCTTTCCTTATTAAGTCAAGCACTTTCACCTTTTCATTTAAAGGAAGCACTTTGCAGCATCTCTTTGGCATATCTGAATTGCCAGCATTACTACTCCTGCACTTTAGGGCCATTATTAAGTAAAATAAGAGTTTCCTGAACATAAGCACTGCAAAACCTCCACAGTCAGTCACATAAGAAGCCATACATCATGGATATGCTGGACAAAGGGATGGCTCACGTCCAGAGTGGGATGGAGCAGGACCTCACAAGATTTCATCATGCCACCAAGAATGGCACACAATTTAAAATGCATGACCGGGTGTTATCCTAGCATTTTGGGAGGCCAAGGCGGGTGGATCACTTGAGGTCAGGAGTTGGAGACCAGCCTGCCAACATGGTGAAACCCTGTCGCTACTGAAAATACAAAAAATTAGCTGGCATGGTGATGCACACCTGTAGTCCCAGCTACTTGGGAGGCTGAGGCAAGAGAATCACTTGAACCCGGGAGGTGGAGGTTGCGGTAAACCAAGATTGCGCCACTGCACTGCAGCTTGGGTGACAGAGAGAGACTGTGTCTCAAAAAAGGAAAAAAAATCTCATGGTTTATTTCTGAAATTTTCCACTTAATATTTTTAGACCATGGTTGACTATGGGCAAATGAAACTCTGGAAAGGGAAACTGAGGATAGAGGGGACTACTGTGGTAGGATTTTTGTGGTAGAAAGAGCACTGAATTAGGAATCACACTTGGGTTCCAATCCTGGCTCCCTTAGGACCTGGGGCAGGTATTCCCTATTAAATCATTGTCTTAAATAAGGAGAATGGGATAACCAATAACCCAAACCTCTTTCAACTCCAAAATGTTATGCTTCCTATGTGGGTACCTCACAGATTGGGTCGCCGAAGGAAAACCATGAAACTCTGCCGAGAACTCTCTGATTTGGTTGTGTACACAAACTCCGTGGCCGCTCAGGACATTGTGGATGACGGTAAGAATGAAGAGTTTTCTCCTTCCACTCTGAATAAACATTCTTGACCTTTCTCTTTCAATTGTTAATGAATTTTTGTTAATCCGATTATCAACACACATTTTTGGGACTATGTAGAAACCAATTTGAGTGTCAGGAAACTCACTGCTGCCATAGTGTTGAGTTGACATGGAGGGTTCTACTGATTACTGTGGTTGCCTGATTGACCAGAGGCCAGAGAAAGTTCCCACAGGGCCGAGGAGGACTTTATTACTGTACAAAGACAAGTGCATCAGGGCAAGACCTTCCTGCAGCACTTGAACTGTGAAGACCAGGCCCGGCTTGAGGACCAGGTCATAGATGACCATTCCAAATGCTAATGACCAAAAGAAGAAATTAATTGGCTAAAACCACACCTTGAAAAGTCCTATATTTTCTCAGTGAAAGTTTTGACTTGGTTGAAAATAGCTTAATCCAGATTGAAGTTTTAACAAAAAGAGCAGAAATCTCAGTAGCGTTGTCTCCGTCACTGTTTTTCACCTATCAGTTGCCACACGGAGCTGAGAAATTCTAGTCACATCTATTCATATCCTTGGCTTTCCTGCTAGTTACTCTTGTCTCCTTTATCTTGTATTTCATTTAGTTACTGAATGCTTACAGAAATAACCTACTGTCATGTGGCTTTTCATCTAATTTTAATTTTAGTGGAACTGAAATGTAAATCAGAACCTCCAAATTTCTCAACAAGTTTTAGTGAAGGGAAACAACATTGTGTCCTCACAAACCTCCAGGATTCTTCCCTCCCATCGCCCCCTGCCCAGCCCCTACTCCACAAATGTATCTTTTTCTATTTGCAGAAAGATTTCTTCCCTTTGGCCTTGATTCCTTCTTCAAATGGTAACAATTATACAAGATTTAAATGAATTTCACATGTGAAAGCATGAGAAACTGTAGGATTCTCAGCAACAGAGCAACAAACTCTTATAACAATTGCCCTTAGCTCAAAAATAAACTCAGGGAATGATTGCATTAAGTTTAAATGTATATTTGGTTTAGGGAATAAAAATTTCCAATAAATGGCTTGGAAAACATAATACTATTAATTTAATGAAAATTAATACTGAGCGCTGTTTAGCTCTTGAACTTCAACTGTTTTTGTCTTTTTAATTTTTTTGCCAGCCACAAAATGAAAACTAGATAATGAATGCATGGCTTATCCTAATGTGATACAACTCAACTTTATTAATTTACTAACTGATATGTGCCTAATTAGCAAGGTCATATTAATGATATTGTGATGTGCATATTTATGTGGAGAGACAGACAAAACAGTTGTATTGATTATAGTCCTATTCCATCTGAATTAGGCTTGTCAAAAAGATATTTTCTCCTGTAATGTTTAAAACATCCCTCATCAAAATCTGCAAATAAGTTCAATATTAGTATGCTTGAGATATGTAAACTATGTTAATAGGTTATGCCAGTAAAATATATTTGAAGACATATCTTTAAGGAAAGGGTCTAAACTAGAAACATTATCACATTAAAAACTGTAATCCTCTAATTTCTTTGCCACAATCTGTATTCCTGACTCTTCTAACTCTGGAGTACATTGTCAGTTGAACGGCGTCTAACATCTAAGGGCGTACAACCCTGAGGACCACAGGGGCCCTGGGAAACTGTGTGTTAATAAACATGCAGAGTCTAGATATGACTCAGGCCCAGCTGGCTCAGCAAGACATATATAGTTCAACTTGTTGGTTTCATGGACCATATCTCTCTGTCTGGGCTCACACACACTCAGCTTATTAGGGCTAAATAAGAATGAGATTCTGGGTAACTTTGGGTCTTTTTATCTGGGCTGGACTTTTCCAGCATGTTCAGAGGACATACGGGCCATTTTGGGGATAGAGTGTGGGTGCTTGGTGAAGGAGTGGGAATAGTGGGGCTTTGTAGATATGGTACAAAAGGTGGGATTGGAGACAAGAGTGGAATATTAAATGTTTGGAGCTTTACTCCATTGTGACCCCCAAATTTGCAGCTTCTGTGAGTCTAGATTGACCCCTCCTGATGATTGTGCTGGCAGAAACTTTATTACAGGCTTCATGTACTTTTACCTCCCTTTACTTTTTTCCATAGTTTATATGCGTGGCTAGGTGAATGAGTGTCCCTGTTCTTAAAAGTTTTATTCCTTTATAATGCTTTTGACCTCTTTTTCTCCATTATGATTCCTTTCTCCCAAACAGGTTTCGGCTTGTTCCATAGTTCTTATTCAAATCAACTTTAAAACTCAACTTTTTATTCTTGTAATTGTTCTTTTTCCTTTATTTTCTTGGATCCTGAATGTTACTATTAATACATGTTTTACACGTGTGCCTTTTAGATGAGTGCCTTCAATGAATGTCTTCCTGTTATCAGGAAGAAGCTATCCAGTTTTATTTATCCATGGTTGCCTATATGTTTGGCAAAGATATTCTGTTTAAGTTTTTTTTTTCTACCCGTTCTTTTCATGCTAGCCAGATAGTCATAAATTAGTGGGATGATTGAATTCTTAGGGAGAACAGGGGACCCAGAAATAGACACCTACTGGAGCAAGACACACAGCTCTGATGTGGCCTCAAAATTCCATTCCTAAACATGGAATTTTATGTGTCTTTCTTGTTGAGAAGCTGCCTCTACTCTGGTTGAATCCACTCTCTAGTGCTCTGCTTTTTGCTATTGGTATACTCTGACATTATTATAAGGTCTTTTGTGCGCGGTGTTTTCTTTGCTGTAGTTCTCACTTCCTTTTTCTCTCTATTAAAAACTGCCAGGAACCACAGGAAATGTGTTATCATTCAGTGAAACAAGAGCACATCAGGTTGTTCAGCAAAAATCAGAGCAGTTCATGATTTATAATCAAAAGCAACTCACGAGGATTTACCCCTCTGCCTACCGCATTGATTCCAGTAACTTCAACCCGCTCCCCTACTGGAACGCAGGCTGCCAGCTAGGTGCGTACTCCTTGGGAAGGAGCAGTTCTCTGTACGTTCTGACTATGCCACCATCTTGCCTAATTCTCTCCAACTTTTAACTTGCACAGTGGCACTGAATTATCAATCCGAAGGACGAATGATGCAGTTAAACCGAGCCAAATTCAAGACAAATGGCAACTGTGGCTACGTCCTCAAACCCCAGCAAATGTGCAAAGGTGTGTATTAATTTCACAGTCATAAATGCAGGTGTATGTTAATTTCATAGTCTAAATTCAGGCAACCTTTATTAAGGAAGCTGTTTAGAAAGTGTGATACCCTAGAGTTTTTCAACATTTTTTTTTTTTTTTCAAAAAGATAGGTTAAGGTGTTTGAATGTGGATTAGAATTCTTATTACCACTACTTAATATTTGGTTAGCCATGATGTTTAGAATGTTATCTTGAGAGGTTGTATGTGAAAGAGGGACATGGATGGCATTGGGTTATCATTTGAAATCCAGTGCCACGTATAAGCTGGACTGCTTTTTAAGGTCTGAGCCCTATCTTTCAGAAACTATCTTAGGTAATGTGAGTCTGTGACCTGCTGGCAAGCTTCAATTCCACCTGAAACAACTTTATCAAGCTCTTTTACTCAGTGTAGTCCAATTACAAAACAGTGCTAACAAAAGAGAAAGGATAGGCTGGTTGTGGGGGCTGATGCCTGTAATTTCAGCACTTTGTGAGGTCGAGGCAGGCGGATCACCTGAGGTCAGGAGTTCAAGACCAGACTGGCTGACATGGTAAAACCCTGTCTCTACTGAAAATACAGAATTAGCTGGGCATAGTGGTGCATGCCTGTAGTCCCAGCTACTCGGGAAGTTGAGGTAGGAGAATCGCTGGAACTCGGGAGGCAGAGGTTGCAGTGAGCCAAGATCACAGCACTGCACTCCAACCTGGGTGACAGAGTGAGACTCCATCTCAAAAAAACAAAACAAAACCAAACAAAAAAAGGATAATGTTGTGTTAGATCAAACAACACTTTCTTTTGGTTCTGCTCATTAAAATTATTTTTAAAATTTCCAAATTACATTTACAACAATTCAGATAAAAACATTGTTGACAGGATTATCTTCAAGATTTTATGCTTTGCACGTTTTCTTGCTCTGCTGTTTACTTAATTTCAGGTCTTCTTTCTGTTTGTTATATTCACTCATACCTGAGATAGTTTAGGTTAGAAAATTATTTGAAACTGACATAATTGTTCTTCTTTCCACACTGTTGGTGTTCAAATAAAATGCTTCTTTTCCTCCATTCCACAGTTGATCATTGCATTGCAAACACTTGCTTTAAGTTGGCCCACGCCACTGGCCTTTGGGAACATGGATTCTAATGAAAACCACAGCTATGCCACACTGATAGTTATGTGATCATGTAATTCAGCATTTGTTTTTGTCTGTTTGTTTGTTTACAAGCTTAAGCTGTGCATGTGTGCGTGCTTCTTCTTATGTTACCAACTTATACTTTACTTGGCCTAGGTACTTTCAATCCTTTCTCTGGTGACCCTCTTCCTGCCAACCCCAAAAAGCAGCTCATCCTAAAAGTTATCAGTGGACAGCAACTCCCCAAACCTCCAGACTCCATGTTTGGAGATCGAGGCGAGGTAAGTTGCCTATGACTACGTGTCTAAGTGGTTAATTATGTGATTATCTTAGTTCATTTACATTTTATCTGAAATGTCTTCAGAGATGTATGTGTGTTCATGACTGAGCACTGACCTCAGCTTATCAGACATTAACTGATTTATTGGTAAGTCACACAGTTCTTGTTGTACTGCTGTTCATCATCTATTTTGAAGGCATGAGTGCACACAATTGAATTCACAATTTAAGGTTGACACTGGCATTGCTAAAATTGGAGTGCAAAGACAATTATATTATTAACGGAACACTGCCCAAGAGTATATCTTAACCTGGGAAGGTAATGTTCCATTAATAATATAACCTCCACATTCCTCTCCTCCTGCAGTGCTCCTCCTTGCTGCCCATCAGCCACCTGCTCCTTGGCCGTGTGCTGATTCTTATTATCATTTGCTGTACCTGTGTAGTGTGATTTTAAAATGTCTTCATCTGTGGACACAGTCTTTTTTCTTTCCAGAGCTTTTAGCCCATTGTTTCCATTAGACCTTCTTGGCCCTTGCTTTCTCCATACATAGCAGCTTCTCCTATGCTCTTGCCCTTCCTCTCAGAGCTGATCCATTATTTCAGGCTCTTTGTTGCTCCCGTCTGTTAAACCATCATTTTTGGATCTTAAGGAAGGAAATTATAGAGCTGTACAATTTGGTAACGCCATAAATGCTTTATTTAAGAACTCTACTTTCTCCGCTTTAGACTTTCTTACATCAGCTCTTTCTAGATTCTTTGGGTTTTATTCCTTCATTGTTCATTACCCAGAACTGGCACCACAAAGGAGAGTCTACAGATGACCAACAAGACAAGATCCTTCCCCCTAGAGGAGAGGATGGGAATTAAAGTATATGAATCAAACATGGATAGCTTGATTAATTATTATGCCACCCAGATCAAGACAGAGCATATCCAGAATCCCTAGAAGGCCCCTGTCCACCTTCCCAGTCAATATCTACCCTCCCCGCTGCCTCTCATAGCAAACACCAACCCCTATCACAACAGACAAATTTTGTCTATTCCTAAACTTTATATAAATGGACTCTTAGAGTAGGTACTCTTTTATGTCTGGCTTGCTCAACATTATGTTATATAGCAGAACTTTATTCTTTTCTCATTGTTGAGAGTATTCATTGAACACATATTTCTGACCGGGCACGGTGGCTCACATTTGTAATCCCAGCACTTTGAGAGGCTGAGGTGGGCGGATTGCTTGAGCTCAGGAGTTTGAGACCAGCCTGGACAACATGGCAAAACCCCATTTCTACAAAAATGCAAAATTACAAAATTAGCAAAATTACAAAATTAAAAAATACAAAAATTAGCCAGGTGTGGTGCGCAAGCCTGTAGTCCCAGCTACTTGGGAGACTGAGGTGGGAGGATGGCTTAAATCTGTGAGGGTGGAGGATGCCGTGAGCTAAGATCATGCCACTGCATTCCAGCCTGGGCTACAGAGTAAGACCCTATCTCAAAAAACAAAATAACAAAAAACAAAAAACGCATATTCCACAATTATCCATCCTATTGTTTTACTATTATAAATACAGCTGCTCTGAGCATTTGTGCATGGGCAAAACATCTCAGTTCTGTTGGGTATTTGCCCTGAACTAAAGTTGTATGTTCACTGGGTAAAGTTTGTTGGCATTAATAAATACTAGCAAACAGTAATTTAATATTTTTTATACTTGTCTCATATATCTGAATCCACCACACCTAGTACCATTTCTTTTTCTTACTAAGCACCTTGTAAAATCAGTTGCTGTCGAAATGTAGACATTTTGGCCAATATTCTCAGATTAATTAACATATGTATAGAAATGTTATTTGTAATAGTACTTTCTCTTTATTTAATAGATCATTGACCCTTTTGTTGAAGTTGAAATTATTGGATTGCCGGTAGATTGTTGTAAAGATCAAACCCGTGTGGTAGATGACAATGGTAAGATCATAATCTGTGTTCCCTTTTTAATGAAGATGGTCTAGAAATAGAATTTACACTAAAAAAAGTGTCTATGTAGAATGACCAAGAAATCTCTAAAATCCGTAACTCCCATCTGAGTTTATGTTAAAAACTTTTCAACACATAAAACTAAGTAACTGTGGGATTGATGCATGGTTTATTTTGATGGTGTTGTAATCTAGGTTCTCCAGACTTTTGCTTTTAAAGGAATTTTTTTCTTCTAGTAAGAAGAGTAAATGATATTTTAAAGAACTGGGTTAAAAATTCACTGAGGAAATGCATCCATTATATGTTTATATTGTATTTTTATGACATGAGTTTTCTCAAAGCTCTCATTTGTGAAGCCTATGTGCCTTGATAATTTCTCACTTTTTCTGGAGCATGTAAAACTCTAAAGGCAAGCCCAACGTAGTCTGGCGAGTTTACTTCTTGAGTATTTTCATGCAATTGGAGGGGCAGCATTCTTCTTATATTTTGGCCATAATATAAAGAAAGTTTTCTTTACCCAAGCCTCATGTCTTTTTATTTGTAATCTTTTAAAATTTGTTTGTTCATACATTTCACAAACATTATTGCATGCCTACTTTTTCAATGTCTTGTGATTAATACTGTAAAATACATTTGAAACACAATCATTAATTTGAGAAATTAGGGGTTCACAGGGAGTCCCTGAAGGAACACTACAGGTCCAGAGTAGGGCAAACCTGTAACTTAGAAAAAACACGTACACAGAAAGAAACCTTCTTAAATTGCGTTTTTCCACCAATGTTCAATAGATTATTCTTTCTTTTTTTAGTCTCAGAAATAATTGAGAGGTCATCATAAGTCAATAGAAAGATCTTCTCTTATTCAAGAGGGGTATCTCAGTGATTTTTCAGCTCATAATTATTTCATTAGCTTGAGGCTTTTTAATAGGGTTCAGTGGCTGATACCTCTTAAATGCATACATTTTTAAAAACTTATTTTCATTTTTGAGAAAGGAAAAAAACCCAGAAACTTACGGAGTACTTGAATTTTTAACAGCTTTTATAGTTATTTTATTGGAGAGAATTTTGCCAAGTAAATGTATTTTTGCATTTTAGTATTTGAGGTGAAATATACCTTTTTAACGTATTTTTCAGTAGCTGTGAAAATATGCCATCATTCATGCAGTAAGGTCTTGCTTCGTGAGAAGCTACTGGGAATCAATAGTGCACAGTCTGATTTGACCCTGTCACTAACTATAAGGCCTTGTGTGGCTTTGGGCACATTATCGTCTATGAACCTCAATTTTCTCAATTACAAAATGTCTTGTAAATACTGATATTCCCTACTTTAAAAGATGAGTGTTACTTGTATAGTTTTTGAAAGTAATATATTTTTGAAAGTCAGTAATACATAGTTTTTAATTAGAAACAAAAACCAAAACCATGCTCTACTCTAAAAACTCTAAAAATCCTCTAAAAAAACTTAGAGGATTGCTATAAGAAATAAGATGATGTATGTACAATAGGAGTTGAAACCTGCAAAAGCACCTGATAAAATGTTTGTTGGTGGTTATTACAGCAGCGGACTCTTTGGTGCATGAGAAGCATAATTCTGTTGGGAGAGGATATCATTCTTTATTGTTTTGGCTAAAACATTATTCTTAGATCACTACTATAGATAATTTTTTAACTTATTGAAGCATTCTGAATACTAAAGAGCTTCTCTACAATACAGTTAGGCATCAAAGATTAATAGATTTGATGTGATAATTTACAGGCAATTTTCTTACCAATTATTTTCTAGCAAGGGGGTAAATTTCGAGGCTTTATTCCAGTAAGGCATCCCGGAGTGGCTTAGTTGTCTTCATGAGTTTAATAACCACTGCAAGCAATTTTCATCGTCTGCTTTGCAGATGTTGCTGCCAACTCATTTTCAGCCAAGTCCTTTGCTTTTCTGATTTTTCTTTTCCTATTTCTCTGAGGATTTAACCCTGTGTGGGAAGAAACGCTGACATTTACAGTACACATGCCAGAAATAGCTTTGGTTCGGTTCCTCGTGTGGGATCATGATCCCATTGGACGAGACTTTGTTGGGCAAAGAACCGTCACCTTCAGCAGCTTAGTGCCTGGTAGGTATGAGCTAGCCTTTTCTCTCTAGACTGACCATTCCTTTTTCTTTGGAAGATATAATACATCATATGCTACTTACATAATAGCATATGTAATATATAAAATATGTGTCATATAATAAATGTGACTTTTAACAAGCTTTGTAAAATGTAAAGGATTATAGTTGGGCTGGGTGCAGTGGCTCATGCCTGTAATGCCAGCAATCTGGGAGGCCAAGGTGGGAGGATCACCTGAGGTCAGGAGTTTGAGACCAGCCTGACCAACATGGAGAAACCCCATCTCTACTAAAAATACAAAATTAGCCAGGTGTGGTGGTGCATGCCTGTAATCCCAGCTATTCGGGAAGCCGAGGCAGGAGAATCGCTTGAACCCAGGAGGCGGAGGTTCCGGTGAGCCAAGATCATGCCACTGCCTTCCAGCCTGGGCAACAGAGCAAGACTCTGTCTCAGAAAAAAAAAAAAAGAGCTATAGTCAAGTCAGATATTTAATTTTGTTGCACCCATGAGAAAGTTAAATGCAAGTTCAACTAAAAAGAAATGACTGTCTTTCCTTTTATTAGGCTACCGGCATGTCTATTTGGAAGGACTGACAGAAGCATCCATATTTGTACACATAACCATCAATGAAATCTATGGAAAGGTGAGAAAGATCATAGGATTTAAAGTCATATACATTAATATGGTCCTCAACAATGCTACTGATTAATTGCATAATAGGAATGTAAATTTTGACAAACTCTGCTTGGACCAAAAACTCTAAGGAAGCCCAGCAAGCCCAGTCTGCTATTCCAGTCATGTCCTGATCCACCTGTACTCTTTTCACTGTTTAAGGTGTGTACTCATTCCTTCTACACAGGCGCCCTCTCTGGGCTTAATAGAATTGAGAAAACTATTATTCTCTCAGGCAGTAATCTGTTTGGCTAAAACAATGAAGATACAGTTAAATGTTGAATTTTATTTTAATCCTTAAAAAGACTCAACTGACCTCAGTGGGAAACGTAGTGTCTCAGATGGTTGATAAATTACCTGTACTAACTGGTCTGTGATCCCAGCCACTTCTAGGCAGGCTACATTCATTTGGTACCAATGTTTTTAACTGAAAATCTAAAAATTGTGAATGGATTTTAAAGCTATTTTAAAACTGAAAAGAAGGAGACCACAAAAATGCATTCTAGTTCTTTCCTGATGCTGTTGTCGTGGTTATAGAACTCATTTGAGGTTTACAAACCAGTAGGTTGTCCTCTGGTCATGTCAAGTAACTGGGGACTTGGTTACCGGTATGAATTTTCAGGACCACATGGGATTTGGAGGGACTGTTAAAGCATTGAATGGGGCCTAGAAATGTCTTGTGCTCTTTACAAGAAAATCTGTATAGCTGGAAGCTTCCTTATCTGTGAATGTGGGATAAAAATAATACCTGCCTCATAAATAAATATATTTCTTAGAAAGCTGCCTGGTACACAGTAAATGCTCAGAAATATTGGCTAATTAATGTGATTATGACTACAATCCAGCTAATAAGGAATGAACCATTTCAGCCTGAATTAGGAAGTGTAATGTTTATTTTCATATCAGTCAGCAAGGGTGTGGAGGTGAGGGTAAGGATCCTAATTTCTAAGACTGGTGAAGTTTTATACCATAACTTTCTGTGTTTAGTCCTGGATTTCTGTTTGTGCTGCTTGTTGGGATCTTGCCTCTCATCTAAGTAGACACAAATGTAAATAATTCAAAAATGATTCTTGAATTCTAGGAATCCCAGGTTAACTACAGATTATCTCTAGCATTTATCACATTGAGGGAAACAATTAAATTCTGAATTTGTTTAAAACTTGAGCCAGAAATAAATTAAAATCTGAAAGTGTTCTATATCATCCCCATCTTCTCTCCTAAATAAATGTCCATTTATGAGTCATACTCTTTATTCCTTTCAAGATGTGTTCGGGTTGGGATCCACACATCACAGTGTAGTGGTATTGGTTGAACAATGAATGAGCACAAGACTGAAAATCCCTGAAACTAACAGAAAGGGTTTATAGACATGTATGCATTTTTTCTTTTGTGTTTACTTGTGACACCCTCTTCAATGAGCCCCAATTGTGTTTTGTTGTGTTTTGTTTTTTTCCTTTACAGTGGAGCCCTTTAATACTCAATCCCAGTTATACTATATTGCACTTTCTAGGAGCTACAAAGGTAGTTTCTCAGCATGGTGCTTTGTTCTGGCTGGCATATTTCTTTTAAGTGGTTATGGCAGCATGCTTTTTCATATCACTCCATTTTCCTGCTTACCACTTTGAAACATGCATCTGTTGCTTTAAGGCGCCTGAAGTTCGTAGCGGTCTATGAGCTGTGGAGACTTTTCCTACCATTTTGTCATCTCTGGGTAGGAAACTTCTGGGAGAGCTTGATGTAAGAATGGAAGGCTGAAGTCCTTGCAAAGTAAGGTTGATAAGATGTGCATGAAGTTGTGCAAACATGCTGTGAGCTGCTGCTTTCTTGGTGTGAATATATTTCAGTGGCTGTACAATTTTGGTTTATATTCATTTTTCATGGAGCTGTTATTTTAAAGGCAAGTTGTTGATGTGATGGCATTTGCTTAACTTGTGGTTGGTCCTTTTGTGTCTTCAGAATAGACAACTCCAGGGTCTGAAGGGACTGTTCAATAAGAATCCTAGGCACAGTTCTGCAGAAAACAATTCCCATTATGTACGGAAACGATCGATTGGAGATAGAATTCTGCGACGCACAGCCAGCGCCCCGGCCAAAGGCAGGAAAAAGAGCAAAATGGGCTTCCAAGAAATGGTGGAGATAAAGGATTCAGTGTCCGAGGCCACAAGAGACCAAGATGGCGTGCTGAGGAGGACCACACGCAGTTTGCAAGCACGTCCTGTCTCCATGCCTGTTGACAGAAACCTTCTGGGAGCTTTGTCGCTGCCTGTATCTGAAACAGCAAAAGACATTGAAGGAAAAGAAAACTCTCTGGGTAAGATACTTTGAGTTTCTCTAAGAATAAACCCTTCTAGGCTGCATTTCAGGGTCTGTTTACCATTATGAAGAGGTTGACATTATGTAGTCAAAGTAAAATATACTGAAGAATAAATACTTTTTAATGTGATCTTCTAGACGAGAAGATTTTAAACGTTTGGGGCCAGGTAGATCCATTTCCTGCTCACCAAGAGCTTTATAATATCAACATCTGAAATTGACAATGAGAGTAGGGGGAGCCATTAGGTGTGATGGCACAGAGAGGAAGAATGAAAACTGCAAAATAGGATTCGAAATATTGGTTTTCCAAATGAATGCCATATTTACTGATTGTTCTGAGGGTGAATATGGTTGTATTACTTTTCTTACATATGACACATTTCTGTGATTGGAAATGTTTATGGAGAAAGAAAGCCAGTTGTTAAAAACAAGCCACGTTTTTCAAAAACAAGCAAATCTTTTTTTCTCAAGAGGTGGCTCGCGCAGTGTTTTCCTATGGCCTCACTTCCCTGATCCTTGGATGCTGGCAGGGATGGAGGTGTGCCTGCAGCTTTAGCGCGGTCGTGGGCTCCACAAGCATAGGGACCAGGTGCTGCCTGTCTTTTTCCTTAATTTGAGTGTATCATTGACTCATATCAGGAGCTCAGTACAGAGTAAAGACCGCCTTGCAGTGTGCCAGAGAGCTTTTGACTGATGTCGGTGACTCCCATCCCATCCTACCTGGGGGTAAATTTAAGTGCCAAAACTGTGTGCATTTGATATCTATGCAACAAATATGTTTTAATTAAATCAGAATCATCTCAGACAACTAAAATGTGGTACTGATTTCCTTTAGCAAAATTGTTCTTTTATCTTTTATCAAATGATCTAATTTCAGTGCTCTCTTTTCCCACAAACACCATTTTACTTGTATTGATTTTTTGTTATAAGATATTCTTGAATGGTTTATTTGAAGGAGAAAAAGAACGTTTAAAAGCTTGAAATTTTGCTAAGAGCAGTGTCAGAGAAGAGATAAAATATGTGCCTTAAAATGTATTTTAAAATCCCATCTTTGGGAAAAATAAAGCTATATTCAATAGAAATTGGTTCTATCCTGTTAATGCCACTGTTAAGATGTTAATACCATTAAGGTGAGTTAGAAAGCAATTTTGAGGTAATATTTCTTTTCTACTTTTAAAAAACAGTTATATAAATTAGTCAGGTGTATTAAACTTTTGGTATATATAAAACGATACATAGTTATATTGCATTAAGTACAGAAAAAGCAGACTACAAAATTCTTTTTTTTCTTTTTTTTTTTTTGAGACGGAGTCTCGCTCTGTCGCCCAGGCTGGAGTGCAGTGGCGGGATCTCAGCTCACTGCAAGCTCCGCCTCCTGGGTTCACGCCATTCTCCTGCCTCAGCCTCCCGAGTAGCTGGGACTACAGGCGCCCGCCACTTCACCCGGCTAGTTTTTTGTATTTTTTAGTAGAGACGGGGTTTCACCGTGTTAGCCAGGATGGTCTCGATCTCCTGACCTCGTGATCCACCCGTTTTGGCCTCCCAAAGTGCTGGGATTACAGGCTTGAGCCACAGCGCCCGGCCCCCCAGACTACGAAATTCTATATATTATTCTGTTCCTCTGCAAAATATTACAGTGGCTGTCTCAGTGGTAACATCATATGGTATTTAATTTTTTCTTTATAATTTTTTGAGGTTTTCAAAATTTTTATGATGAATATTTTTAGTTTGGAAACTATTTAATAATAAGTTGAACAAGTTCTTTTTTCTTATATATCATGACTCTGGAAGCATTATATTATTAAAATAACCTGATCAAGAATTGAATACCTCATACTCTCCTAGCAGTATACTAACCATGCTGGGCTATCCCAAATTACTGTGAATTGTGTTTTTATGGTTTTCCTTTACTGTGTCTGACAACTTACTGCCACTTTTAGGGAAGGATGCAATATGAAATTTGTGTATTAAAAAGAAATATATCATTAACAAAAAATAGATATTAGCAATGACATGGAATTGATGACCAATTTTTATCTTTACATTTTAACTCAATGGATATTGATATTTTAATGCATTTATTACACCTTCCAATTATTTTAGAAATTGATTAAATTAAATATGCTCCCAAAATGTTTTGAAAATGACATTATTATGTTTTTCTTCTTTTCTTCTTTTTTTGTTGTAACTAATACATGTATAACTTTGAAAGCTTATAGTATCTTGCTTACAGGTACCATAATGCTTTGTTTAACAGAGCTGTCTTGTTCTGTTTCTATTGCCATGCTTCTGTGTAGTACAAATCTGAATAGGAAACAACTTAAGGTAATCCTCACTGTAAAAGTATGGTAACTCATTGACATTTTTTTGACAATGAATATTACATCCTTAGCAGATGTAATAGATATTCAAAGGGAAGCTTCAGTGAAATTCCTATAAATATATTTTACCATTTGTTCATCACACAGACACTGTTGCAAACCTATGCAATCCATAATTATATTCTGTCACAGTGTAACGGATTTACATTCTCCATTTGTCTGTCTGAAGACAACATGAGTGTTTGCAGGTCGTACATAAAGTGATACATATCACCTAAAATATTGTTTGTTTCCTTCAGCAGAAGATAAAGATGGCAGAAGAAAAGGGAAAGCAAGTATAAAAGATCCACATTTTCTAAATTTCAACAAAAAGTTATCGTCCTCCTCCAGTGCTCTTCTCCACAAAGATATCATCCAAGGGGACGCCATTGTATCTACTGCCGACATGTCAGTCACAGGAGAACAGCTGGGCATGTCAAGTCCTAGGGGTGGGAGAACCACATCAAATGCCACAAGTAATTGCCAGGAAAACCCCTGTCCCAGCAAGTCTCTCTCCCCAAGGCAGCATTTGGCTCCTGATCCTGTAGTTAACCCCACACAAGATCTACATGGTGTGAAAATCAAGGAAAAGGGGAATGCTGAGGGCTTTGTGGAAGGGAAAAGCATCTTGTCAGGAAGTATCCTTTCTCATAGCAACCTAGAAATTAAGGACCTGGAAGGTAATAGGGGTAAGGGCCGAGCTGCAACATCCTTTTCTTTGTCAGATGTTTCCATGCTGTGTTCTGACATACCTGACCTACATTCAACTGCAATTCTGCAGGAGAGTGAAATTTCCCATCTTATTGACAATGTCACTTTAACAAATGAGAATGAGCCAGGCAGTTCCATCTCAGCCCTGATTGGCCAGTTTGATGAGACCAATGATCAGGCTCTCACAGTTGTTTCTCATCTTCATAATACCAGTGTGATGTCAGGCCATTGTCCCTTGCCTAGCGTGGGCCTAAAAATGCCCATCAAGCATGGTTTTTCCAAGGGAAAATCCAAGTCTTCCTTCCTGTGCTCATCTCCGGAGCTGATAGCACTCTCGAGTCCTGAGACCGCCAAACATGCAACGAACACAGTTTATGAAACTACCTGCACTCCCATCTCTAAAACCAAACCAGATGATGACCTTTCTAGCAAGGCCAAGACAGGGGCTGTAGAAAGCAACCTTCCTGGGTCCCCTAATACTTCTCATGACTGGTTACCAAAAGGTCCTACCAAGGGAGAAGACTGGGAAACACTGAAGAGCTGCAGCCCTGCCTCTTCCCCTGATGTGACCCTGGAGGATGTAATAGCTGATCCCACTCTCTGCTTCAATTCTGGGGAGAGCAGCCTTGTGGAAATTGATGGAGAATCAGAAAATCTTTCTCTAACAACCTGTGAACATAGGAGAGAGAGCACAAGTCAACTTGCTTCTCCTTTAAAACTCAAGTATAGTCAGGGTGTGGTAGAACACTTTCAAAGAGGTTTGAGAAATGGCTACTGTAAAGAGACCCACCACCCTTCTGTCCCTGAAATATTCAACAGTATTCAAGATGTCAAAACTCAAAGTATTTCTTATCTAGCCTATCAGGGTGCTGGCTTTGTGCATAACCATTTCTCAGATTCAGATGCAAAAATGTTCCAGACCTGTGTGCCCCAGCAGTCTAGTGCTCAAGATATGCATGTTCCTGTACCCAAGCAGTTGGCACATCTTCCTTTGCCTGCTCTGAAATTGCCCAGTCCTTGCAAATCCAAAAGTCTGGGGGACTTAACATCAGAGGACATTGCCTGCAATTTTGAGAGCAAGTACCAGTGTATTAGTAAGAGTTTTATTACAACTGGCATTAAAGACAAGAAGGGTGTGACTGTGAAGAAAAAGTCATTAGAGCCTATAGATGCCCTGACTGAGCAGCTTCGGAAGCTTGTGTCCTTTGACCAGGAAGACAGCTGCCAAGTAATATATTCAAAGCAGGATGCCAATCAGCTCCCCCGGGCACTAGTCAGGAAGTTGTCATCCAGAAGTCAGAGCAGAGTGCGCAATATTGCTAGCCGTGCCAAGGAGAAACAGGAAGCCAACAAGCAGAAAGTTCCAAACCCCAGCAATGGGGCAGGCGTGGTTCTTAGAAACAAACCCTCAGCACCCACCCCTGCAGTGAATCGCCACTCCACCGGCTCCTACATCGCAGGCTACCTGAAGAACACGAAAGGGGGTGGCCTTGAAGGCCGGGGCATCCCGGAGGGGGCATGCACAGCTCTTCACTATGGCCATGTTGACCAGTTGTGTTCAGATAATTCTGTTTTGCAGACTGAGCCAAGCAGTGATGATAAACCAGAAATTTATTTTCTTTTGAGACTGTGAATTATATAAAACTGCATTCTTAAGGTTTACAAGGTGTTCTGTAGAATGTCAGAGTTTTCAGTAAATAAGTTCCTTGGCTTTGGAATGATTTTCAAATGTATTTTTAAACTTGTATTTGGGTCTCCTTTTGACTTCATGTGTTCTCCCTGTTAATGCGTTTGTACATAGATTTAGTGATGTTTCCCATGTACCTATTACGATCTTTCTCCCTTGAGGTGTTGTAAACTATTATCAGTATGAAATATGTGCATGCCCTAGATGTGAAACTCCTCAGCAGCTCGGGTTATAATGTGTGTGTATTTCACCAAGATGTCCTTTACTGTGTCCTCAGATTGCGTCACAAATGTAGTCATTTTTACTCTCTATCTGTTGAGTTGATTAAGAGACTTTGCAAATGACAAAGGGATGAATTCCTTACTTTAATCTGTTATCATTTTTCCTATGTTTCCCTCTTTGTTGAGAAGCCCAGATGCATTTTTATAACTCAGTTTTAAAAACTTTAAAATAGTTACCTTGCCTTTTAGGATGTTCTTATCCCACCCATAAAGAGAGTTTAAAGGGGATGGATAGCTGCTCCCCATGCCCTCCCCACTTTTTGGAATAGGCTGTGAGGGTGTGAGGAAGAAGGCCGTCTTTTGTATATAAGGACAAAATTGTTTGTTTTACATAAATTTTGTTACATATTTTTGCTAATGGCTTTGTATGTAACAAGAAGCCAGTTGCCAAACTACTTGTACTTTTGAATTTTCTGATTGAATGACAGACTGCGAACAATGGCTTTCAGAATGAGGGACTTCCATCAGACGCTAATGATAATAGTAGCACAAACTGAAAACTTCCCCAAAGCTTTCAAAGAATATTTTCTCATAATAAAATCCGAGTGAATAGATAATTAGAAGAAACCTTTTTCCTTCAGGGAACCAAGCAACTCTATTTTAGTACTGACATGCATTATTTTCACTGTGAATTCACTTTTTTATTGCATGTCCAGATGTCCCTCTTTGTTTTTTTTTTTTGTAACATTAACTGCAATGATGTTCTTCCTGGAATTCATGAAAATATAATTAAAACACATTTTTAAACACTTGGTGAACTTTTTTTACGATTGAAATTCATATGATGACTATTGAGTAAAAGCACTCAGAGCACTCGGGACTACTTTCCATGTGTTTGCGGCAAAATAGAAAGCTATCACGGAGGACAGTTTTAAGCAGCAATTTAAGTCTCTGAGTGTTTTCCTTATGCTTTAAAAAGCATATTTGTGAGGTGACTTGAAAGAAAATCGAATGTAATGAGTTTCTTTGCATTTGGCATCGCTATTGCAAGTTTAAAAATAAGCCTTCCGAACTGGTTGTGGTGGTGGGCGGTGGGAGGGGAGCAGTGGTAGTGGTGGTGGTGGTGGTGGGTAGGGGAGCCATGTGGGGAAGGGAAGTGAGATGCTATGTTTGGCAAATGAAACTGTCTGAAGCTTCGCAATGTGGGGGAAGAGGGCAGAGAAGAACACTTGGTCCCTGGTTCTCTTGGTCCCCAACTCTGAGCTTTTCCCCAAGGTTGGGGGTCCTTTATTTTCTGGACAAGCACTGGGAATCTGGTTGGGGCTGATGTGTAATGGTGAAAGGGTAAGTGACCATTTCTATGCCCTTAGTGAGCCCAAGACATTTTTGTTTTCTTGTGAGTTCTGAACCTCCTAATTCTATCCTTAGATCATGGTTTGTTTTTAAGGTACCCTTGTTTTAGAAGGGATTGACATGATGTACAGTTGTTAAAATTCACTTACCAAAGAATAGAATTTAGTTGCTCTTTGGGATTTGATGGTATCTTTGTTCTAAAACAGATCCAGGAGTTTACTTTTGTTTTGTTTTGTTTCTTTAAGGTAAACACTGACATTTTATGGACTAGAATTATGAAATCCCCAAAATTGTGGGAAATGAAATACAAGTAATTTCAGAAAATAGGTTAGGAATGTTTCTAGCACAAAGAAAAGACAAATATTTTAGGTGATAGATATCCCAGGTACACTGGTTTCTTCTGTACAAATTATATGAACGTACTAAATTATCATACGTACCCTCCTCCCAAAAGAAGAAAATAGATTGGATGCACAGTACTTCTGCCTCTCCCAGGAAATATTCATTTTCCTTTGCTCCTTGAAGTTCTTAAATGGAAATATTTGATAAACAAATTTGATAATGGATGGGGATTAAATCAAGTTCATTTCACAGATGAAAAAACTGAGGCTCAGAGGTTCTGTTTCCATTAAGTGTAATCCATTAATACATTCATTTCGCTGATACTTTCCCTTTAAAAAAATCAAAAGCATGTATTATTTCTTGGTGAATATTGAATTTAAATCCTTTCTTTTAAAAATTTTATTATTATATTTGTGTGGGTACACAGTAGGTGCATATATGTATGGAGTACATGAGAAGTTTTGACAGAGGCATGCAATAAGCACATCATGGAGAATGGAGTATCCATTTCCTCAAGCATTTATCCTTTGACTTACTCAATGACTTATGAACAATCCAATTACACTCTTTATTTTAAAATATACAATTAAGTTATTATTGACTATAGTCATCCTGTTGTGCTATCACATAGAAGGTCTTAGTCATTCTTTCTGTTTTCTTTTTGTACTCATTAGCCATCTTCACCTCCCCACTCCCAGTCTCCCACTACACTTCCCAGCCTATGTAACTATCCTTCTACTCTCTATGTCCATGAATTCAGTAGTTTTGATTTTTAGATCCCACAAGTAAGTGAGACCATGCAATGCTTATTTTTCTGTGCCTGGCTTGTTTCACTTAGCATAATCATCTCTAGTTCCATTCATGTTGTTGCAAATGATTATCTCATTCTTTTTATGGCTGAATAGTACTTCATTGTGTATATGTACCACATTTTCTTTATCCGTTCATCTATTGATAGACATGTAGGTTGCTTCCAAATCTTAGCTAATATAAGCAGTGCTGCAACAAACATAGGAGTGCAGATATCTCTTTGATATACTGATTTCTTTTCTTTTGGGTATATACCTAGAAGTGGTATTGCTGGATCATATGATAGCTCAATTTTTAGTTTTTTGAGGCACTTCCAAATTGTTCTCGATAGTGGTTATGCTAATTTACATTCCCAACAACAGTGTACAATGGTTCCCTTTTCTCCACGTCCTCACCAGCGTTTGTGTTAGCATGTCTTTTGGATATAAGCCATTTTAACTGGAGTGAGATGATATCTCATTGTAGTTTTGATTTGCATTTCTCTGATGATCTATGATGTTGAGCACCTTTTCATATGCCTGTTTTCCATTTGTATGTCTTCTTTTGGGAAATGTCTATTCAAATCTGTTGCCCATTTTTTGATCAGATTATTAGTTTTTTTCTGTAGAGTTGTTTGGGCTCCTTGTATATTCTGGATATTAATCCCTTGTCAGAGGGGTCGTTTGCAAATATTTTCTCCCATTCTGTGGGTTGTTTCTTCACTTTGTTGATTGTTTCCTTTGCTATGCAGAAGCCTTTTAACTTGATATGATCCCATTTGTCTGTTTTTGCTTTGGTTACCTGTGCTTGTGGGGTATTTCTCAAAAAGTTTTTGCCTAGACCAACATCCTGGAGATTTCCCCCAATGTTTTCTTGTAGTCATTTTATAGCTTGAGGTCTTAGATTTAAGTCTTTGATTTATTTTAATTTGATTTTTGTATATGGCAAGAGATAGGGATCTATTTTCATTCTTTTGTATATGGATATCCAGTTTTCCCAGTACCACTTATTGAAGAGACTGTCTTTTCCTTAGTGTATGTTCTTGGCACTTTTGTTGAAAATGAGTTCACTATAGGTGTGTGGATTTGTTTCTGCATTTTCTGTTGTGTTCCATTGATCTGTGTGTCTGTTTTCATGCCAGTACCATGCTGTTTTGGTTACTATAGCTCCATAATATAATTTGAAGTCAGGTAATGTGATTCCTCCAGGTTTGTTCTTTTTGCTTAGGATTGCGTTGGCTACTCTGGGTCTTTTGTGGTTCCATATAAATTTTAGGATTATTTTTTCTATTTCTGTGAAGAATGTCATTGGTATTTTGATAGGGATTGCATTGAATCTGTAGATTGCTTTGGGCAGTATGGATACTTTAATGATATTGAGTCTTCTAATCCACGAATATGGAATATTTTTCATTGTTTGGTGTCCTCTTCAATTTCCTTCATCAGTGTTTTATAGTTTTCATTATAGAGATCTTAATATGTGGCTACTGTAAATGGGATTACTTTAATTTTTTTCACATTGTTCACTGTTGACATATTGAAATGCTACTGATTTTTGTATGTTGATTTTTGTATCCTGCAACTTTACTGAATTTGTTTATCAGTTCTACTAATTTTCTTGTGGAGTCTTTAGTTTTTTTCTAAATATAAGATCATATCATCCTCAAACAAGGATAATTTGACTTCTTCCTTTTCAATTTGGATACCCTTTATATCTTTTTCTTGTCTGATCGCTCTAGCTAGAACTTCCAATACTATGGTGAATAACAATGGTGACAGTGGGCACCCTCATCATGTTCCACATCTTAGAGGAAAGGCTTTTAGTTTTTCCCCATTCAGTATGATACTAGCTGTGGGTCTATTGCATATGACTTTTATTACATTGAGGTATGTTCCTTCTAGCCTCAGTTTGATCATAAAGGGATGTTAAATTTTATCAAATACTTTTTCAGCATCAATTGAAATTATCATATGTTTTTTATTCTTTATTCTGTTAATATGATGTATCACATTGATTGATTTGCATATGTTGAACCATCCATGGGTGATAAATCCCACTCGGTCGTAATGAATGATCTTTCTAATGTATTGCTGAATTGGTTTACTAGTATTTTGCTGAGGATTTTTGCATCAATATTCATTACAGATACTGGCCTATCATTTTCTTTTTTTGATGTGTCTTTTTCTGTTTTTTTTTGTGTGTGTGTGTGTGTCAAGGTAATACTGGCTTCATAGAAAGAGTTTGGAAGTGTTCCTTCTTCCTCTATTTCCTGGAATAGTTTGAGTAGGATTGGTATAAGTCATTCTTTAAATGTTTGGTAGAATTCAGCAGTGAAGCCATCGGTTGCAGGCTTTTCTCTACTGGGAGACTTTTTTATTACAGCTTTGATCTCATTACTCGTTATTGATTTGTTTGGGTTTTGGATTTCTTCCCGGTTCAGTCTTGGTAGGTTTCATGTATTTAGACATTTGTCAATTTCTTCTAGATTTTCCAATTTATTGGCACATGGTTGCTCTTGGTAGCCACTAATGGTCCTTTGCATTTCTGTAATATCAGTTTTAATGTCTCTTTTTTCATTTCTCATTTTATTTATTTGGATCTTCTCTCTTTTTTCTTAGTCTGGCTAAAGGTTTGTCAATTTTGTTTACATTAGAAAATCCTAACTTTTTGTTTTATTGATTCTTTGTAACTTTTTCCACTTTAATGTTATTTATTTATGCTCTGATCTTTATTATTTATTTTTTCTACTAATTTTGGGTGTGGTTTGGTTTGCTTTTCTAGTTCTTTAAGATGCATTGTTAGATTGTTTATTTGAAGTTTTTCCTCTTTTTAAGTGTAGGTACTTATAGCTATAAACTTCCCTCTGAGTACTGCTTTTGCTGTATCCCCTAGGTTTTGGTAAGTTATATTTCCATTATCATTTTCTAGATCCTGTAGAAATTTTAAAAGTTTCTTCTTAATTTCTTTTTGAACCAGTGGTTATTCAAAAACATATTGTTTAATTTCCATATATTTGTATAGTTTCCAAAATTTCTTGTTATTAATTTTTAGTTTTATTCCATTGTGCTCAGAGAAGATGCTTTATATTATTCCAATTTAAGAAAATGTTTTAAGACTTGTTTTGTGACCTAACATATGGTCTGTCCTTGAGAATGACCCATGTGCTAAGGAAAAGAATGTGTATTCTGCAGGTCTTGGATGAAATGTTCTGTAAATATCTATTAGACTCATTTTGTCTGTAGTGTGGATTAAGTCTCATGTTTCTTTGTTGATTTTCTATCTGGAAGATCTGTCTAATGCTGAAAGTGGAGTGTTGATATCTCCC